GTGTGTGTGTGTGTGTGTGTGTGTGTGTGTGTGTGTGTGTGTGTGTGATTTGTTAGAGTGGCTTATAGGCTGTTCCAACAATGACTATCCCAGATGGGAAGTCCAAGAATCCAAATAGTTGTTTGTTCCATGAGGCTGGACATCTCAGCTGGTCTTCAGCATATGTTAGAATCCCAGGGAAGAAGGCTCTAAATGCTAGAAAAAGAAGAATCTTGCCATCCAGAGTGAGGACAAGCAGGCAAAGAGCAAAAACTTCTTTCTTCCATTTCCCTTCTATAGACTGCCACCAGTGGATTTAGAGTGGATCTTTCTACTTTTAATGATCTGTGTTTAGGGTGGGTCTCCTACCTCAAACGATCTAATAAAAATTTCTCACAGGCATGACCAGCCACTCCGGCTTTGGTTAATAGCAGATGTAGTCAAGTTGACAACCAAGAAAAGCCATCACAGGCGGGGAAAGAAATTCTAAGGAGCTTTCTGGAAACAAAGTTGGCTGAAGGAAAAGGGGAGTTGAAAGCGTTTTTGTTTTTATGAGCTACCTGCTGTGACTTTTTCCAGAGAGATAGAAAATCAGTATCTGCCAACTTATAATGGACATTCACAAAGCCAAAGACTGACTCACTCAGGTTCATTTTGACATATGAGATGAAGTTATTAGGGGTGACCTATGGAGCAGAGGATGACTGTCAACAGCTAGGTGTATTTTTCCCAAATCATGGCCTCAACTCTCTCTCCTGTGAAGCTCCTGTCTTATATTGTTCTAAGTTTACAGAATCCCTTGGTTCACGGTGCTTCCTGGTGTTGTTAAAGGGTCAGAGGCAGAGGCTCAGAAAACATGAGGCACAGACACGGCAGACTTTGGGAAAGTTCTGTGTTTGTGTATACCTCACCTTCGTTTCCTTCAGGGATTCTTCTGGTTTGGATGAATACTGTCCATGGTGGAGAAGACTGTTTCTTCTGTAGCCTGGCTCACAGGACAGTTACATAGTAGCTTGCTGAAAGATAGACAGTTATTTCCGTTGTATGACTGCTCCACAGGATAAAGGCAGAAGGCTACAGGTGTATGAGAGAGGAGTGAGTGAGCTCCCTGCCTCAAGGGTCCTTAATTGCCCCTCTTTCTAATGGACTGAACATGAATTTCAGGGAGTCTTGATCTCATCAGAGAAAGAATTCAAAGGTGGACACAGTGAACGTGCTCAAGAATGAACAGCTGCCTCACGATTCCTTTCCGGTCAGGTTTTATAAGGGTTTCATCTTTGTGTCTTCAGGCTGGTTTTATGTCTTCTCTCTAATTATGTGGAATTCTCCTAGAATCCAGCGTGTGTATCACAGATTCTTCCCATACGGCAGGCTGGGAGTTTTTGAGCTTGTGGGGTTCATACAGGACTGTCACAGTGCATGCGGTGGATGGCACTGGTTTTCCCCAAGGTTGGTTGGTTGATTTGATTAATTCCAAGCTACTTTTCTTGGCCAATTGTGTACCGACTGCCTGACTAGCCCCACTATCACCCCTTTTAGAAAGAGACTCTGCACACTTGGAGAGGACTCACCCTGCTTTTCATTCCCATTTGAAACTCCTCAGTGAGCCCCAGGTTTATCTGGTACCCTCCTATAGATGGGTAGTGAAGGACACTTGTTTTTGGGGATGGTATCATGTTTAATCACCAGGTAAGAAGAAACATCACAGAATATAGTAACAAGATAGCCCAGCAAGAGACTAACAAAGGGCACACAGAGTCTTGCGTGTACACATAAGGCTTCCCTTCCTTTGCAGTCTCTTCACTAATCCACTCCAGGTAGCGTGTCACCTTGGTGTAGACTCCGGGAAAATTCTCTTTGCCACAGCCCACGCCCCAGCTGACAATGCCCAACTGGTACCAAGTGCTTTTGTTTTTGCCTTTCTTTTTGTTGCAAACCAGACCTCCTCCGCTGTCACCCTAGGAAAGAAAAGTTGTTGGGAAGTTGAAGGGCAATAGGAAGCTACTCCCCTAGCCTGCTGAGGTGCCGGTATCTTGACCAAAGGTACTGAAGGGTGCCTGTGGTGGCAGTTTCTGTCTATTACTCAGTATTCCAGCCATGCAGCTGGGACTGTTTGCATAGGTAGCAAACAATGTCCTTAAAAGCAGTTGGATGAGTGACAACTTGATGAAAGACTGATTCCCACCACCACCACCGTCACCGCCATTTAGTCCACTATCGATGAACATATCATTAGTTTTTAACGTATCGAAAGCTCGTGCTTTCCCCATGAATTCATTTTTCTACCAGCCCAACACTCTCTTATTTTGCTCACAGTTGCAAAAAGTGAACAAAATAAGCAAAAATCCATCATGACTCTTAAGAAGCCGTTGGTGGAAATCTACCGGGTACACAGACATATACCTAACTAGATATGTGGCAAATGCAAAAGGAAGAGTATTATGTTAAAAACCATAAAATGTACTCAAAGTACATCTCAAATGACGTAGGGAAAAATAAATAAATCACAAGCCACACTCATAAGGGAGAAGGTCCCCTCAGCCCAAGGCAGAAGTTCGAGCAAGGGCCACACCAGGAGCTAGTGCCCAGAGCTACACCCCCCCCCTACAGCTGGGAGGGTACAGGCCTTGCCCACATCTTGATATGGGGCTTGTGTGATCCTGAGCCTTGATCACGTATGTTGGTTAAAGCTACCCAGCTTGTGGTTATTTGTTACAGAGGCCCCAGGGAACTTCTGTGGTATCTCATCCCTTGGACAGAAAAGCCAGCCACCCTCCTCAGGCAGAGCCTAACCCATTACCTGGCAGGCATCTTTCCCAGCCCTTCGAGACCCAGCACACAGCATATTTTTGGTAAACACAGAACCAGCAAAGCCACACCTGTCAGATCTAAACAGCTCCACTTGGACTTTCTGCAGCTTTGGAGATATGGCTTGTGGTCCACCTGACCCAGAGGAAAAGCAAAGGGAGAGCAGAGCTTCAGCTAAAATGGCCCCTTTCAGTTGAGTGTCAGCCCCCACCACATCACCCCCATGGCAAGAGAACTTCTGTTCACTCAGAGACCCATCAAACTTGGTATGAATGCTGGAGAGGAAGAGGTGTCTAGAAGACAGTCAAGATCACCCAAGCATCCATAGTTCCCTAGGACTAGGTGCTTGCTTAATCTCAGCCTGAGTTTAGCATCTTCCAATTCTCTAATAGGCACAAGCCCCAGCTGGAGGCCTGGAAATGTGCTTTGTTTGAATCCATGATGGTCAAGAGAACCCAGGGACATTCACAGGGGAGTGGGGGGGGGGGGGGTGGGGAGTGGGGGGGTGGGAAGCTCACTTCCCAGACTGTAGATGCTTTCTTTCTCTTTAAGTATTGCTGAATCCTGTGTCTAGGATGCTTCCAGAACAGAGAAAAGGTCAAGGCATGTGTGTTGAATGACATTTGAGGACTTTAGAGTTAAGGACTTTTTTTTTTTCCTTTTAAGCTAAGAAAAGTCATCAGAGACTGGCTCCCACCCAGGTTGGAACTTTGGAACAAAACACAGGCTCGGCCATGTGAGGGCCTTCGTGGAAGAAGAGCCACAACCTGCAAAGTGGTTCCTGCAGACTTGTTTATGGGGCAAGACATGCTTACCAAGAACATGGACAAAAGGGATCAGTTTGCAGGCGTGGCTGGGAAGGGGTCTAGGGGTGGACTGCAGCTTGCTTCTACGAAGGACGCTTTACACGCAGTGAAATTTTCCTTGTCCTGGATCTTGGCTGTCAAGTTCTTAGAGACTTGTTTGTAGAAGATCAACACCAACACCATCATCTGGAGCCGAGGGAGTCCACACTGCCACCCTGTGTCCCTCCATAGTCCTTCAGAATTCGACTGTGTGACCATTTGACCTTGATCTCCCCCCCCCAGGTTCTCTCCAAGGTTCCTGTTCTAGAGCGTAAGTACATAATTCACTCCAGGCCCCAGAGTGAGGCTTTATCTCATGAAGCCTCGCTGCTTGGAGGACTGAGGATAAGGTATGTCATGGGCCTTCAGTGAGAACTGAAGTCACCAGATCCACCAGGAAGAATTTCAAGGGCCAGCAGGGCTCCTATAGTTTTCTAACCCTTCTGAACACCAGCCTCATGCCACCCTGTATACCCAACCCGGAATCACTCACTGGTAGTGGTAACGCCCCATCCTGTCACCCAGCAGTTTCTCCATGCCCGTATGTCAGAGACTTCTGAAACGCAGATGGGTACCCTGTTGATACTCAAGTTTAATGGGGATTTGAGCAAGAGCAAAGCTATGTCATTGTCCAGGAGCCAGCTATCAAACCTCGGATGCATAATCAGCTTGTCCACTTTCTTATACTCCAGATTTGTGGTGTTGAGGTCATCTGTGTTGCAAATGATCTCCAAGTGAGAGCTCGTTTAAAATAAAAAAGAGAGACAAGGTAAATAACAGAAGTGGAGAGGGGGAAATCCTTAAGTCAACAGTCATTCTGTCACCAGGGGCTCTAAGTAGTGAGGGGCTAAAGGCAGCTGAACAGCCATAGGCAGATCTGTGTTCCAGCTCTTAGCCTGATGGTCTTATTTGGATAAACTAGCGTCTAGGAAGCTAGGGATGGGAGCGGGCAACAAGGTGCCATTCTTGATTCTCAACAAGGCCTGGTATGATTTTTAGAGCAGAAGTCCAGGGGACTCCGGACTTGTACACAAGCCCAGAGCTGGTGATGTGTGTTCAAGGGCTAGAGCCCCAACCCTCACACACCAATGACTCCAAAATCTCCCCAACACTGTACTCACACACCCACCACTGGGTCTCCAGCAAGAGCAGACAATTAGTGGTGATAAACTTTATTTTTGTCTATTTAAAGTCCCTGTTCATTTGTCCTTAAGACAAGGTCTCTCTATGTAGCCTAGGTTGGCCTTTGACAAGTCATCCTCTAGAGTGCTCAGTGACAGGCAGGCACTACCACAACCAGTTAGGAAAAGTGTTTACTAGAGGCCAGATAAAATCCAAAGATGCAAAGCCTGCAGCACACAACAAGAGGTATTGAATCCTGGGAGAACTACTCACTTCCCAGAGGTCGGGTGGAATACTCAGCCATGAAGGCCATTTTAGCACCTGATAGCATCCCATGGCTTTTTGAATGAAGTTCAAGGGTCATTAGCATCTAGGACAAGCATTCAGTTTGTTATAAAGAAAATTCTAAGTTAAGCCTGTTGGCACAGGCCTACAGGGTTAACTGCTTGAGAGACTGAGGCAGGGGAATTACAAATCCAAAGCCTATCTGAGCTACTGAATGGGTTCAAGGCCTGACTAGAAACTTAGGGAGACTTTGTCTTAAAATAAAAAGCAATGGATCTCTAAGTCAAGGCCTGTCTAGTCTACAGAGCCAGGACAGTCACAGCTATACAGAGAAACTATCGAGATAGATAGATAGATAGATAGATAGATAGATAGATAGATAGATAGATAGATAGATAGATATAGAGAGAGAGATAAGAAAGCAAAAGAAGGCTTGGACTGCAGAGAGCACCTGCCTAGTGTGGTCCCCTGGGCTCAATCCCTTGTGCCTCTGCCCACATCCACCCTCGCCCCCAGTTTCTAGGAATACTCACTCCTCTAAATTGTTGAAACAATGGGATGCTGTTAGGACCCACCACTCGCTGAGAATAGTTCCCCCACAGAGATGATCTCGGTGATCCATAATCCCCACATTCCACGGGAAATCTGAGATGCTTGCCAATTCCCCTCCCATGATAGAAGAAATGTTCCACGGTTGAGATCTGGCACTTATTCTCGTTTTTCTCTGGCCACATGTCACTAAAGGAAATGAGGAAGAGACAGAAAGTTCTAGGGCTTAGGGGTCAAGTGTGGGGGTCTCAGAAAAAGCTTAACCACAGGCCTGTTCTCCCCATGCACATGAGCAGCGGGGATCAGCAAAGGGACATCAGCAGGGAGCCACAGACGAATCCAAGTGTAACACATGCCTCTCTTGGACCTGGCCACACAGTGTGAGGTGCACTGGGTGCCACCTTCACTGTCATTTGCTCCTTGGAATGATGTCATGAGGCCTGGAAGAAGGGAGACTCAAAACCACACGGTGGGCAGCTGGATCTTGCTATTTCCCTTAGGTCTGTACAGTGTTATTCCTTTCTTATGTTTGTGCCTCACCGTCCCCTGGGAAAGTGCTGTGGGTCTGGTGTAGCACTATACACGGTGGCTGTGTGTTCTCCTGGACCCTGCAGACATCAGAGAAAAAGCTTTCAGAAGAAGATGGCTTGGTCCCACCTGCTCTCCAGTTCCTGTCCTGATTTTCCTATTGTGATTAGGGAATAAAGCCTTTGTGCAACTTTAACTCCAAAGATCATTCCAATTCTCCCCGTAAGAGTTTGACGTTTCCTTTGTGACAGGGTTATTTTGACATCTTTTGATGCCTTTTCAGTATTATTTCATTTTTCCCCTCCTCTTCTCCTGCTCCTGTTCTCATCCTCCTTTTTTCTTCCTCATTTTTCTCTACCTTTTCCACCTAGTCTTCCTCCTGCTTCGTACTGTGGTGGCTCAACCCCTGGGCCTGGCACACACTGAGCAAATATTCTACCGCCAAGCCCACCCACAGTATTATTCCAGTATTATTCCAATTAAGAGAGAAGTGAATGCAATGAAATCTACAGTATTGCATACTGTTTGCAAAGCACCATCCTGTTTTGCCTTACATTATCACTGCCCTATTTTAAACAGCGAAGCCTGAGGCTGAACATTGAGCCAAAGCCCAACAGCTACTCTAGAGCAGGGATAAGTCGGGAGCATGGGTGACGGTCTTAATGACAATGGCATTCACACAGTTCGTACAGGAAAATATAGCAATATTTCTGTTCCAGCGTCCTCTAGTCACAATCCCATACCCACGTGACATCGTAGCCACCAACCCTGCGTTACGCTCTCTCACGCTACTGTCCCACAACTCCACCACATCCGTCCCGCTAACGCCCCTGTGGCCACAGACCTCTGGCACACCCCACCCCACTGTCCTTCACACGCCATACAGCCTATCCATACAATATCACGTCACACCCGATCCCCACCCTGGCCATCAGCCGAGAGCTCTGTGAACAAACAACCACAACCACCACAAGGTCCCACCACATAACCCACCGCCGTGTACACCACCACCTTAGAACTCTCTCACCACAGACCTTTGCAGTATGTCTAGCACCACCACACAACCCCACCATGAACACACAAATGACACCACAGACCACTACCACACAAACACCTAGAGCACTCATCACCATCGCCAACACTGCCTCACCACCTCGCACCGCCCCACACCCACGACCAGCCATTGCTCCTCTGTCTTTCCATTTCTTTTCCAACACCACAGGCCTTCTTTCAACTCCCTAGAGGTGACCTGCAGCTGCCTACCTCAAGGTCTTCCCTTTTCTCCTCCCTGATCTGTGCCCCTGTAAATTCTTGATATTAAGGCTTATCATAAAGGGAGTTTCGCTGATCTGGGCAACATTGAGATGGGGGAAGCTGGAGTTTGAAGCTTGCATTGGTTACAGGAGCATGGTGTGTGTGTAGGGGGGGGTGAACTCACACGGCCTCTACTGAAGTATTATTTTTGTATTAGGAATTCTCCTCAGAATGCCAGCAACAGTCAGCAAATGTTTGAAAACTCTTGATGTCTGCTTCTCTCATTAGACTCTTAATCTTCGTGTGGGTAGGAGTCATATGTGACTAATTCTTAAGGCCACACCACCTAGGCAAAAGACTGGTATGTTGTAGGAACCCAAATAAACAGATATATTGGGTGATGGTGTAAACTGGATGGGTGGGTAGATGGAGTCAGTGGGGAGATGAGTGTATAGGTGGGTGGATAATTAAGAATGATCTTAGTATCCATGGGAAAATCCTCTGAACCACCCATGGCATGAACAGGTGGTCGGGGATTGAGGAGCCTCTGTCCAAAGGCATCGACCCTTTGAGCTCTCAAACCAGGAAGCCAGAGTAGAGAGAGAAGGGGCGATCAGCAGAAGAGTCACCACATCTGAGGGATGCCTCTCAGAAGCCAACGGAAGGAATCGCCTGAAGTCGTGGCAAGGCAGTTCACAGCTGCAGAACTGAGTAGTGGCTGACAGTGGTATGCACTGCACTGTGGATAGACACGATTTTGCTAGATTCAAACCCTCAAATTGAGGCATCGCTATCACTGTTAAGGACAGGGCTCGGGAGAGGGCTTGGTCAGTAAAAGTGCTTGACATGCAAGCATGAAGGCCAGACTTAGCTGGGCATAGCAGTGGGCTCCCCCACTGGGGAGGTGGAGACCAGCAGATCCCTGGGACTTTCTGACAAAGATTAGCATATCTGGGCTCTGCAAGTCTCTTATCTCTGCACGGAGCCCTCTTTCCCCTCACTCCAACCAATTTTTACTGGCCTATTTGCAATGTATTAAGCTCTATCTCTGTGCGGAGTCTTTGCACTGTGCTTGCAAATGTGCCTCACCATCAGAAATAGCAGGTACAGGAAGGCTCTACCTGACTGTTCAATTTCATCAGCTCCTCCCAGCTTTTCCACGACACCATTGTACAAGAAACATAACCAACAAGTTTCACTCGAGGATTTTGTTGTCATACTGGGGGATTGAATTTGGGGTTTCTTGCACGCCCAGTATCTGGGATTTGAAATTTGTTGATCAACCCATTGGCCCCAGCTACAGACTCCCTGACCTCAAGCAAGATCCCATCACTGGGGGTTCTGACATCCCACTTTGCCTGAGTGCTGTAATGTGTGGCTTTCCATTAGACCCTTCAGAAGTTTTTCAGCATGGTGGACTTAATCCTTCCTGATGTGGCCAGTAGGCATCACTGGCCATAGCTGGCTACCTTTTCTGAAAACTGTCCTGGTGTGGCCACTCACTCTGGGAAACTCTAGTATCTACACAGATGGCAAATCACACACACACACACACACACACACACACACACACACACACACACAC